CAAATTATACAAGTACATACAAACTCAACATATAATTTCCCCACAATCTACTATAAATAGTATATATACACTTTACACTATACAGATTCATCATCGCTTCCTCTCTCTCTCTCTCCTCTTTATTCTCCTTCTCTATCTATAGATAATTATCGCCGGAGAACTCTATTTTTCTCTCTATCTTTATCTCCATCTCCATCTCCCTCTCCCTCTCTCCCTCTCTCTCTCACTCATCTCTCCATCTCCATCTCCATCTCCAACAATCCATTCAATTCTCAATTCTCAATTCTCTCTCCCCATCTCTCTCTCTCCAAAAATCCAATTAATTCTCAATTTTCCAGTATAGAATCAGAATCAGAATATATAATATAAAACATAAAATGACTTCATAGATATATATACCTCGAGTAGTGAAGAACAAGAACAAAAACAAGAACAAGAACTAGGTAAAGTAAAGTAAAGTAAAGTAAAGTAAATGCTATGCTATACTATAACCCTTCCTTACCCTTCCTTACACCTACCCTTACCTACCCCTCCTTACCCTTACCCTTCCTTACCCTTAAACGATTGAGTTTCGACCATGAAACTGCAGAATCATCACCATCACCATCACCTCGACTGACTTAGGTGCGTGCATACATCCCCGAGATTATCCATACCGAATATCCGTACCAATTACTGATTTTCCATACCGATTACCGATTACCTCCCGACAAGGCTATACTGTACTGTTGATTCATACATTCATACGTTCATACACAATGCAGACTTACAGACTTACTACCAGTCAAGACCGGAGAAGCCATTTCATATCATATCATATCATATCTGATAATACAGGAGGAAGAAGAAGAAATGAAATGAAACAAAAATCAAGATTCTCACTCACTCGCTGTCACGCCACAGGACGACTTACATACACATGATAGAGATCCATCCCATGTACAGCCATCCAATCCATATATTTTTGGCCCTCACTCCTCACTCCACTCAAACTAATCCAACAGCCCTCGCCTCACCTCGTCGTACAACCATACCGGTATCCATCCCCCCATCCCCCTCCCTTCTATGAATAACTCCATTCCTGCAAGCCACACGTACACAACATCTGCCAAGCCACGTGGTCATTTTGACAACTTTCCTTTTCGAAGCTGTCCGCACGTATGAATAACCTTATGTGTCATGATTTCCCGATCCAGACAACGTCTCATCCACTTCCGTACCGTTTTTGTTTGACACCGGCTCCTAAACTGGAGAGCTGGGCTAGAAATTTGATGGGAATACTACCGGATACGAATCCGGTGTAGCCATTAGGTAGAGATTTTTCACCACTCTATATATTTCCGCCACGTATCAATGATCCAAAATTTTAAAAATCCCATCTTCAATTGGCATCCCAGTGCCAGATTCCGAACAATTCTTCATATTACAAGATCGAACGAACATCGAAACGTCATGATTCGCAACTGGCCGCCCGGTGTAGAGTACAAGAAGCTTAGAGGCAGCAGAGTTAAAACTTTTCTCATCTCGTCTTTCAAGCCACCTGAACCAAATCTGCACGTCATCCCGAACACAAACACAACATATTTTGTCCCCCCTTTCTAGCATATTTTCAAATCCATGACCGTCCCGTTATTTCAATATTCGTTGCCTGCAGGTAAATGCATATGGAAATAGATAGGAAAACTGCGCATCATCTCTTTCCATTCCACAAATGTACAGTGTTATCTGATCGCCGAGTATATGATGTCGTACTGCCGTACTACAATTTTCAGGCAGATATGATGGTCTCGCAGTGAGCCTCAGCTTGTAAATTCTTCTTGGCCTCAATTTCTGCCTTGCCTCGATATTTCCTGGTTCTCCTTATGCGAATTTCGAGATCCTGCATGGCTTTCTCCGTAGTGACTAATTTTGGTATAATATCCATTATCTTGATACTATTTCCTTTTGTATCTTTTAAAGCCTGTGGGGTGAAAAGTCCAAACATCCTTAGTGGATCCTTTTTAAAAACGGTTTTCGTGTCATCGCCGTTTATATCTTTGTTTGAAAGATCCGGCTCCGATTCGGAAGAAAATGTTTCGTTAATGACGAACAGAGGAGGGGTAGACTGTGCCGATTGTGTATTCGAGGCGTTTTCGGGGACCGTTACATTGCATAACCTTTGTGCTTGAACACGATCATCAAAGAATGAGGTATCATAACGAATTCCATTTTGCGGCGTGAAGTTTGCTCGCGAGAGGTTGATGTGCATCTGTAGTCGTTCGTATTAGTAAATGTACCTAGTAAAGTAGTCTTCCGGAGAGATATCATGGAGACGGAGGGGAGAGGGCTGTGCAAATGAGGGGTGAGGGGTAAAACAGAGGGACAGTGGACAGTGGAGCTTGACGAGGGATAGACTAACGGATGAAGATAATGAAGAAAGCTCAGATCGTAGTGAAGTGTATTGATCAAGGAGGTGAAGGTATTGTTCTAGCAGTTGATCAATTTCCAGGGTAAGTTCTTGGACGGTAGTGATAGACATGATTGTGTTGAATTTAATGAGATTGGCGCCGTTGAAGGGGGGTAGAGATAAGATGCCGTTGCCGTTGCCGTTGTGTCGTATCTGTAATTTCAATATGTTTGATTTCAGCTCGAGCTTTCGATATTTGAATCTAGTTCAAGCTCATCAAGCTTCCTAAAGTTGTAATATCGTTGTTTGAACCCTGTGGGCGCGGAAGTACCGTAATTGAAGTTTGTTGGAAGGAATTACAAAGTGGAGTAATCTTTGCTGTTCATCAAGGATCATGGAAGAAAAGAACTTGTGGAAGGTGGAGAATATCCAAACCAAGCTCGCAAGGATTTGAGATTGACTTCATAAGGGAATTCGGACCTGTCAATTATGCATAAGAGAGCAGTACCGATAGGGGAATCGAATGGGGGAAGAAATGAAGATGTTGATGATATCGAGAGAGTGGAGGAAGAGGTACGGCAGTAATGTGTGCTGGTGATGATGATGTTCCCGCCGAGGATTTTGATGATTTCCATATGGATGACAATTCCTTGATACGTACATTGATCATCGTTGTGGATCAACAGATGTTTCCCTCCTTTTATATCAAATACATCATGATGCTAGTACAACAGGAAGTGAACATACCTAATGTCTCCCCGGAATTGATATATGTATCGTTTCATCTACCTAGGTATACTTGTTAGTAGTAGTACTACACTGCTTTACCCAATACTTTACAAACTTGCTTGAGATTTGTTTTGATATCACTGCTACCGGCACTATATTATACCTCTTAAGCTCTCATCCAATGTATGTTCATAAGAAAATAAATCCAGTCTTCTTGTAACCATGGAATCTGTACAATTCAACATATTTATATTACAATCATAATTACTCGAGTATACAATTCATTTTCGACCCCCAAAAGAGGGAGTTTACTGTTGATGTATGTTATTGAATCATTGAATCCTTAGGGTTGTCCTTCCTTGAATTTTTGGTTTAAACGTGTGGTGTGCTGTGCGTGCTGTGCTGAGTACTAGATAAAAGCAGCTAAAAAGTCACAAAAAGTACACGCACTTCAACTTCCCTTAAAAAATAATCTTTTCACACACACTAGAAACACCACAACGTATCTAAGAAAGAGAATTCATTATTTTCATCATTCCACACCAGCACACCAGCACAACCACTAAATCAAGACTCATCAAACAACCTCCAACAACTTCAGTCCCCAAAAATCGACCTCTCAAGCATTCATTAATTTCATATTACACAGTTGCACTGCACAACACAGTACAACACAATATAATACAATACAATTAATAAAAAGAGCACGAACCACTCACCCTACTTGCCTTGCCTTGCATCGCCGAAACACTTAATCCTCAAAATAAAATACGCGAACTATACCGATTACAAGAACAATAAAAAGAATAATAAGAAGGGGAAATAAGGGAGTTCGAGCATCAAAATAAAGGTCGAATTTGTCCAGGTACCCCCATCGTCTAATTCTTGCCTCATAACTCAGACCTTCCTTAGATCTCAGACCTCGGAATCAAAAGATTTGGAAATCATTTGTTCATCCATCCTGCAGAATTGCCTCACCTCACCCTCCTTGGTCATTCGTGCATTCAACCTCAACCTCACCCTCACCCTCACCCTACGGGCCTCACCTCATTTCACCACCATTCTACACCCCCCTTTGAATCTCGATTGTTCAATTAAACCACTTCGCACATCACTCAACCACACAAATACTTCTTTCCAATCGGACAATCACGACATCTCCTATCAAACGTCATTTTGCATACAAATCCTACAAATCTTCCACCTCCGCAAACAATCAATTCTCAAGACCGAGCACAATTCGATACAAACGATCGATAACTCCAAACATCTCTTGAGCTGTTGAAGAAGTGGGTTTGAAAGATCTACTTTCGACCGGAGCTTTTCAAATAGGGAGATATAAATAATCTGAATAATGGTTGTCGCAACGATAAAGTTAGTTTCCTTTTCACATCCCTTATTTCTTTCAATCCACCCTCGGGCATCTGCAGTTATGTAGCTTCATTGGGGGTTTTTGATTATCATGATGAAGCTGTGGCATGGATTGGTTGATAGTTTCGGAGAATTACTTTATTTTTATGACTTCATAGCTAACTCATCTATCAATTTACAGATGTGTCGTCGTCGGTGATGGTGCCGTCGGAAAGACTTGTTTACTTATCTCCTATACTACGAATAAATTTCCTTCCGAATATGTCCCTACAGTTTTCGATAACTATGCCGTTACTGTCATGTAAGTTTTGATTTACCTCATCGTTTACTTTATCATATCTGCCACTTCCGCATTACATCTACGAACTCCAAACATTGTTCTGATTATTATTTGTTAGGATCGGTGATGAGCCATATACACTCGGTCTATTCGATACTGCCGGACAAGAAGATTACGATAGACTTCGACCTCTCTCATATCCCCAAACCGATGTCTTTCTCGTTTGCTTTTCCGTCACCTCGCCCGCATCATTCGAGAACGTACGAGAGAAGTGGTTCCCGGAAGTTCATCACCACTGTCCAGGTGTACCTTGTCTAATCGTTGGCACACAAAGCGATTTAAGAGATGATCCTAGTGTCAAGGAAAAGCTTACCAAACAAAAGATGAAACCAGTGGAGAAGAGTGATGGTGAGAGGATGGCTAAAGATCTGGGGGCTGTCAAGTACGTTGAGTGCAGTGCTCTGACTCAATATAAGTTGAAAGATGTTTTCGATGAGGTATGTATTTTTTGAATTTAAAGATGCGGCGCATTTTCTGCCAAGGCACGATACATTCATGAGATGAGGAATAAATACTAATTATGAGTAGGCAATTGTTGCTGCATTAGAACCTCCAGCACCAAAGAAGAAACAACATAAATGTTTAATTCTTTGATTTAATTGTTCTACATATACCCAACAATTACTTTCTACCCCAACTTCTTTCGCACCGCACTTCACCGCCACCTTTTACCTCACCACTACTTTTTTTCGCATCTCATTGTCCATATCCTCCTCGATCAATCACATAAATCTGGAAAGTTCTAGGGTCGATCCAACATTGAGCGAATGGAACCAAAAGTTACGTTACATATTCACACACCACCAAATTATTCGGATATCATCTTCCAATACCTCTATTCCGAAAAGGAGAGTTTGATCCGTCATTTGAAACCGCTAGGCAATTGTGAGGAGAAGAGAACCGAATAAACTCATGGGATAAAGGGGAGCTTCCACATCAAGGGAAATTGTTTTCATTGAACCGGAGTACCAAATTTTTCAATCAATTTTCCGGAGCAGGACTTTCAGGTTTGTGGGAACGGAGAGATAGAGAAATGGGATGCTATGCGAAATGCCTTTTTCTATTTACAATCCTCTTTGTCACTTTGATCCGAAGAATCTATCCCCAGCAATTCTGCTTTGATTCCCTCTTTTTCCCCCCATATGGCGTGCGGGCTGGGGTGTTTTGTAGGTAAACCGTGTAGGGGGTGGAGTGCAATATACAGATTTTTTTTTTATGATTTGGTGAATGCAGTGATGAACTCGAGATCTCGACCATGAGCTTGAAAACGTGATCTAATTCGATACTTTTTAAACTGATCTGTCAGAGAAGGCGGCAGCAGGGAGCAGGCAGGGAGCATTGGTGGCGTCGTGCGCCAAGAAGGGGGTAATGTATGTTTCCTCGAAGTTGATATGCATGGGAGAGACATGGCGTTATGAGTACAGGAATAATGGGTGAGGTGAGGTGAGGAAAGATATTGATTCGATCGAGTACGGCACGACCCTTTCTGAACAGGTCTGATAGCTTCCTGTCAGTTGTTGGTTGAGCCATAACGGATGAGCAGAACAAGCAGAACAGAGTGACACAGCATTGCTGATATGAATGAACGGATGAATGAATGCTTGGATGATATCAATGTTTTGCCGGTTGGTTGCAAATTATACGTAAATTTGTATATCATTTAAATATTCTGTCATTCGAATTCATAGGTAAGCTGGCTCGCTCCTATCGACGATTAACAATGTTATTTGGGCCATTGGAAGCCTCGACTTTGAGAGGTCTGAGACTGACTCTGAGCCTCTGAGGTGCCGATAATTGTATAATTGTGGATACTGGTCAAATACAGTAGACAGCTCGAGTACCGAGCCGAATTGCTACTGTAGATTGATTGCTAGCTAACTGGCCGCGGGGAATATTTTTCATTGTCTTTATGTAACGGAGTTTGATATAATATATAATACAGAGCTTATCAATATCATTATTAGCAAAACAAAACAAAACAAAACAAAACAAAAAGGGTGTTATCTATCAATAATGTTATGTATATACTCGAGTAGAACAAACGTTAGTTTCTATTCCTATATCAACATAATCAAGATATGAATATTGGATTCTCTCTTCACCAGAATAAAAACGTCTCTCTTTTTTCATTTTCCATTCAACACAATGAAGATTCCCGTCTTCTTTAATCCGCTGTCATTGTCATTGCTGGCATTATGTGGGGTATTTCCGCCAACTTCATTTGTGGTGGGGCATCAGCATCAAGATGAAGTTACCCAACACAATCTGGAGACGAATACGAATACCGAGGACTTTGGGCATGGAAATGGAAAGATTGTGGAAAGTGTGGGGAAAGAGGAGAAGGTAAAGGAAAAGGAAGAGTTGGAGAGGCTTTGGGGGTTTGAGGTTAGTTTGGTTTTATCAAGATTTTTTGGGTGTTTTTGAGGATGAATAAACTTTTGTTGTCGGATGAATGTTGGTATGCGGGGTGTGGGGAATTGGAAATGGGAGTTGGGAATTGGGAATGAGAATGGGAATGGGAATGGGAATGGGAATGAGAATGGGAATGGGAATGAGAATGGGAATGGGGGTTGGAGTAGGTGGGGAAAAGATGCAGATTTTGAGAGTGGTGAGGAATGGGTTATAAATGGATTTGGGGGCTATGTTCTGGTTTTATAGGTCGATGGATTGGTGAAGAGTCGTTTGAGAAACGGGTATATGCCGAGAGGCAAGGGGAGCAGGATTCGGACTTCCCCAATTCTTGCCAGACTGCTGAGAAGTTTGGCTTAAAGGATGGTGTAAGAGGGGCGAGAAAGTGAAAAGATATATCTTAAAGACGAAGTAAGACCATGAAGTCATGGTTCAGTCTTTTCTAGGAAAATCTATCTATATTTCATGAGAAACTAAGGATGCAAGTGTTTCCATCCCTATTCACATATTTCCAGTCCCCTGCCTGGCCATCACCACAAAAACACAAAATGCTGACGAGCAAACCTCCGCACAAAGTGGTCATTCTCAGGAATCTCAACTTTCGCCCATCTAGAATACAAAAAATGTCTCACCAACCCAGAAGAACTTTTCGATATAGGAATTCTGGGTGTTCCATTCGATACAGCAGTTAGTTATAGACCTGGAGCTAGATTTGGTCCAAAAGCTATCCGGGCGGCTAGTGCTAGGCAGACTAGTTTTAGAGGGTGTGAGTATACCGTATGAGTATTGCCTGTTTAGATGTTCATGCGAATTTTGCAGCAAGGAATCATAATATACCATTTCATTTTTATAAGTCACCGAGCTAATTGACAATCAGTTAATACACGAGCTGGAATAAATCCATACACATCTTTCGCTCGTATTCTCGACTGTGGAGATATCCCCGTCACTCCTCTAAATAATGCCGTCGCATTAGAACAAATGACAGCAGCCTACACCGAACTACTCAACCGAAAGCCCCTTTCCTCATCTTTCACCCACCCTAAGATCATTTCACTCGGAGGAGACCACTCGTTGGCTTTAGCAGCTCTTCGAGCTCTACAAAAAGTCTATAATCAACCAATCGCCGTCCTACATTTCGACGCTCATCTAGATACTTGGCACCCGGCAAAGTATCCAGATCCATGGACAAGCGAACAAGCACAATTTAATCACGGGAGTATGTTTTGGCTTGCCTCAAACGAGGGTTTGATCTTAAACGGGAGTAGTGTTCACGCGGGATTGAGGACGAGATTAAGTGGTGATGATTACGCGGATTATGAAGATGATGATAGGCAGGGCTTCCTGAGGATCTCGGCAGATGACATTGATGATATGGGACCCCAAGGTATCATTAAGAAGATTATGGATAGGATTGGGACCGAGGTTCCGGTTTATCTTAGTCTAGATATAGATACACTGGACCCAGGAGTAGCGCCTGGGACCGGAACCCCCGAACCTGGTGGCTGGACGATGAGGGAGGTAATTAGAATACTAAGAGGGATTGAGGGATTGAATGTTGTGGGTGCAGTGAGTATTATTGGTTCCTTCGTTTTGTCATTTCATACTCAGTCTTCAATACTCTTTGAATGTCACAACTTCTGCATTCTTTTCACTTTGTCTATGGCTTTGACTCTTTAGTCTCCCCCTCCCCCTCCCCCTCCTCCAAACGAAAGGCTTGCTTATTACAAAAAACTAACCCAAATATCACAGGATGTAGTGGAGGTTAGTCCAAGTTATGATGGAGCGGGAGGGGAAACGGCACTCAGCGCTGCGCAGGTAGTTTTTGAAATGTTGACGAGTATCGTCAAAAGGGGTTTGAGGGATAGTAAGTTGTTTGTTTACTTGCTATGTCAGGACATTCCATAGTCCAGATTACTATCCGATCACCAATCTATTTGGCAGATTGACAGTTCCTCAGATATCGAATAACCGAGATCTGCATTGCAGTCCAAGTCCAGAATATCAAAACCCTACCTAAGTAAATTATCGAGAAGTAATTGCTAACTCCATGACTCTTTAGTGGGAAAGATCGCAGAAGTTAAGGAAGGAAGAAAGAAAGATGAATTGTGATGGAACAGCAAGCAACGATAATCGCAAGGATAACCTCCGGGACGATGTACACGATACTTAGATGCTGAGGAGCTTGAAAAACGTGATTGAAATATCAAGCTTATTCTGCAAGACAGGACAGGACAGGAAGGAAAGGAGGAGAATGAGAATGAGAATGAGATCGGCTCTGGTAGACTTGCTTGACTACATAATACAATCTTTAGAACCAACCCACCCACACACAACCTTTTCCACGCACCAAGACTTTCTTTCCATTTTCTCTAGTCTTAGTAGTCTGCCTACGACACTTGACTCGGAAGTCTGAGCAACCAATCTGTTTAACGAGCTTTTCCTCACCTCATAATTCCCCAATTTCATATTATAAAACCAGCTCCAAGCACATCAAGTGATGTGAGTGATGAATATTCTTGAAAATATCTGTTATATTGCTATTGCCCTCTCATTTTAGTTTAGATCTTGCTTCTAGAGTTCCTACTTAGCTAGTGCTTATTATATGATGGTGGCAGAATCTGCTCCACTAGGTACCTAGTCATTACTAGAGTATCTTATGGTAGAAGGTAGAAGGTAGAAATATTGAGTTGTTTAGTGAGGTTAAGTTATTTTGTAATGTATCGAAGAGAGAGACAAAACTTGGGGTTTTCACACTTCATGCTATGGGGTGGTATGGTATGGTATGGTAAGATGTTATAAAATACGACTGGACAAATTATATTATAGCGAATGCTACCTAGCTACCGGATAAGTACCGGATCAGATCAAAAAGAAAATCGAATTTAATTGTTCAAGGACAATGTTGGAATGAATGTACAAGTACTCGTAAATCAAAGGATGCCTTTGCGATGTCCAATGCCTTGGGTTGAGTTGAGGGTATAGATATTGAATCTGCATATATATACAGACAGGATGGAGTGAGTGAGTGGCTTGAGCTGTGATTGTCGAGTGACGCTTACTGCTTGAAAATGAAAATGAATATTTTGTATACTTCGTTTTTCTAAAAAGTTTTCACATATGTTTGTTACTATCAGGGTAGTATTGACAGACGATTCTGTGCGGTTTTAGGTTACTGGATATGACCTGGATCTGGACAAACATCAAATATCAAATATGAGGTTGAGGGTCGAGCATAATATAATGCAATATCGTGTATTTTCAGCTGGACAGACATCCATTTTGAGATGTATGTAGCTAATACAATATTAGCTGTGGAATCCTCCTTGCAGCAAATCTCTAGTAGGTTACAGTTACTGTACTAAAGAAATGCTGGAGGAAAGGACCTTATGGATGAGGCTCGGTTTTGATGATATAATTAAGGATCGATGATTCCCTGGTTGACGAGGATATGAGAAGTTTCGTGTCATGCATAGAAGGAAATGCGCATACTGGAGTACTGTTCTTGTTGGCAGGGGTAGATTGCAGCACATAGGAAGGGATAAGGTTGATTGTGTAAAGGGGGACTCGAGATGAAATGCCTGGGTGGGTGATATATGGGGGCCTGACATGAGAAGGACTGCATGTTGTCCACGACTGCACGTGTAAAACGCCATTTCACACCATTCCAGAATCCAGACGCGTTTTGATCTCTTCCCGCCACGCCATTTCATACCATTCCAGACGCATCGTTCACTCTTCCCGCCACGCCAATCCTTGGAACAGTTCTTGGATAGAAAATAGCATTTGCGACAGAATCTACTGCGATGAACGGAATCCGAATCATATGGAACAAATCATCCAGGATGAAACCATGTTGGAATAGATTCATCTCCGCCTTTCGGCCTTGGCTAACCTTGAATCCATGAAACAATGCCATCTACCTAGGATTTATACATGGATCTATTGGTTCTTTCGGATCAATGGCAATTGCAAGACATTGAATGCCCTGGTCGACACGTTTCCTCGAGCTAGGGAGAAACCACTAGGCCTGTTATTAGGGAACTACGCGGGGTATCGGGGTGCACTTTCATCTCATCTCCTTCAAGACAATGCCATTGCATGGTTTCTTTCCAGAGATCCTCGCCTTGGCTCGACCAAGGAGTTCCGTCATGTATCAATCAAAATTCATGATCATGACAAGTGGCTACAGGTCATTTCTCCAGGACTAATACGAAAGCAAATACAAAGGATGCCAAAGGATTTCGCAACCGATACATGAAACAACAAACTACCGAACGTTCTCGAGAAAATGGTAGGCCGGTATTTTGGAAAGGCACAGCAGCCAAGAAATAATATTACATGGGGCAATGATGATGACTCGATAAATACGAAAATTACCTCAAACTAGATTGCGAAAAGTTGAGGCTGACACTCTTGAAAGTCCACATTCAAAGCTGGAATACAACATTTACCGCAGACTTTGAATCTTTCGAGACGGATCCTGTTGGGCGTTGTAGAAAATAGGAGGAAAAGGAGTTGGAGTTACATTGTCGCGTATGTGAAGTCTTTACTAGGATAAAGTTACTTGATGGAATATCAGATCATTAACCACACTTACCTACTAATTATAGTGTCCTTTGTCAATGCTTTTCTCAAGTAAAGGGACCAAAATGATGATTTATATGATATCATTTTAAATTGTCAGATATTACATATTGGATTGATAAGGAATCTCACGCATCGTGACCCAAAATCATCGAATGAGCGACGACGACAGGGGGGATATATCAGGAAGCGGGGTCAAAATCACTTGTTTCGGAGACAAATATATGCGCCGCTCTAATTCTTATCACTCGCAATAATCCAAATATAGTCAGCCACAGAGGAATTGGAATGCTTTCTTAAATCAGAGGGTCTAGAAGTTATCTTTGTCGACGATGTCCGTGACAAACTGTTCAATAAATCGAGCATCGATAGATTATACGATTTATTGATCGCTTTGAAGTTTGACCTCATCTGGAATATATCCATGATGCCGTTGAGAAGATCGCATATCAAATCACATCATGGGTGTAGTCAATGTAAATTTCGAAGAGTTAAGGTTCGTGGTCCTTGCATGTTAAGAGGCTATGGCTATGGCTATTGTCATACCACACCACAACTCACACCCTTTTCAAATGAGTGCTGATCCCATCTTCATAATGTTAGTGTGATGAACTCCAACCCATCTGTTCGAGATGTACCACATACAAACGAGAATGCAAATACAATTCCGTAATCACCCAAGCACCTGGTCAATATAGTTTCGAACTCCGACCACCGCCCATATCCAAATTTCCAAAGCACAAACCAAAATTCATTCGACCATCATCTCGACCATCTCGACCTCATCCACCACAGAGTCAAAACCCCAATTATGGTATTCAAGCACCGCTTCCTTTTGGTCTCCACAAAGAAGCTGATGCTCTTCTCCATCATTATGTCAATGTTACTTGCAAACCCATGACATCAGCCTTCAACCGTCCGGATCAAACTAAATGGGAAGGAGCCGTTCGACGTAACGCTTCAACCCATGAATTCGTATACAACGGCATGCTATCATTTGCGGCCCTCCATCTCGCTGTTCTCCAACCCCAAAATCGATCCATCCATATAACCAAAGCATTAAAGTTTCAAAATTCAGGCATGACGGAATTCCGACCCGTGTTAGAAAATATCACAGCATCGAATTGTGAAGCTGCGCTAGGATTCTCCGGGTTGCTCATAAGTTCCATCTACGCGTTTCCCGTAGCGCAAGCTGGACCCGATAGATCCAGCGAGAGATTATTGGATTATCTACCTGTGATCTTTAGTTTGTTTAATGGAACCGTGGCTATCTACCGCATGGGCTGGATGAAAAGTCTCGATTCTAATCTCAGCGTGCAGCTGAGGAATAAAGTCATGGCGGCCGATGCAACCAATACACCAGCCGCGGGCGAAGAATTTCTCGAGCAATTGGAACGGAGAGAGATTGCTATATTGAAGGATGCACGTCTTCGAGATTTGTACACTGATGTATCGTCTCAAGTTCGCCGAAATTTAAGGAGAACTCAGCAGTTTCCGGGGAAAGTATGGCCCGGGGCGGCTCCTCCGCCGTATATTCAATGTGTGAAACAGAGGGATCCAATTGCGTTGGTGCTGGTGGCGTATTGGGCGGTAGGACAGGATAGAGGGGTGGGGTATAATTGGTGGGCGAAGAACTGGGCGAGAGATTTGGTGGAGATGATTGGGGTGGAATTGGGGGTGAGTTCGAAATGGTGGTGGTATATGAGGTGGCCTAGGGAGAGGATGGGACTAGTACAGTGATGTATGGAAATTGTGGTGGATGAAGAAGTAGTTTGGGTTTGAGGATCGGTGCGGCTTTTCCAGATAGACCAATATTATATTTCAGTGTCTCAAGTACACGAGGATATTCATTGAATGGTTATCGCAGACCGGTATTCTAATATCAATCTACGCTACTCTCTCTTCTTCCATCATCCACCATCCACCATCCACCATCTCAATTACTCATCTCCTCCACTCCACGACATATATATAAGAAGATATTTTCATCTATTTCCATCTATTTGTTTCTAAATTTCAGCATTAGCATTCAATCCCTTAATCACACTCACACTCGCACTCGCACCGCGTTCCTCCCCTCCGAATATTCTGCTCCTAATTACTCTACTGTGTGTGTCACTCAATATCTGTGGATCTTCTGGTTACTATCTCTTTTCGACCATGTAGATTTAAACTAATTTTGGAGCTCTCATGAGTCGCATCTCAGAACCCCTGATAAAATTCGCCAAGCGGTGCGACTATGGCTGGTTTATATTACTGTAACGGGGAGAAGGTGAGGGAGGAAATACTTTGGGGGAAAATGATGGATGGATTGATGGATGAAAGAGAGCGAGTTGTTGTTGTTGATTATAGAATGGATATAGATATCTAAGGAAAAGGAATATAATATGGATATAGATATAGATATGGATATGCATAAATGGAGTGAGGGGGGAGATGGTGGCTTTTAATGTTAATGGTGATGGTGATGGTGATGGTGCTTGTGGGATTGGAATTGGGATTGGGATTTCTATATATATACACATGCATTGAAATTGAAATCGAGATAACTATCGGAGGAAACGATTCGGAAGAAAGGAGAAAGGAGAATAAGAATAAGGATGGAGATGAGATGAGATGAGATTGATTGGATTGGAAGAAAGCCAATAAGTAACAAGTAGCAAGATCAAGTAATCTTTTTTTTTGCTGTCACGATCACAGTCACGGTCACAAAATTGGACGCTGCACTAAACCACAGAGAGATACAGGGAGGGAAATTACCGTTTCATGATGAGTATGGATATCTGGCTTGGTTTGTGTTGTTGAGGAAAATACTCGAGTACTTGAGTAGCGTTAAGCAAAAAGTATACAACAAATAATTACGATTTTCTCTTCTGCGAATCTGCGATTAATAAATATACTCGAATAATAACCCCCGCGAAATAATTATAATAATGTAATGAAATCAAATCGCATCAAATCCCGGAATTTAAATTCAATATTCCAATTGCATACCGCACAACCACCCTGTCTGTAACGATTAATTATCAGGCAAAGCAGAGAGCTACAAAACTCAGTCTTTTGGCACGCTACATCTCATCTTGCACCTTATTATTTATTCCCTTCTTTCAGACAAGGGGATCTCGGTTCAGAGCTGAACACGACTTTAGTCCTAATTCGGGTAGGCGTCTATAGAGTAGTTGAACACGACTTTAATCCTAATTCGACTAGGCGAACCCGACTTTACTTAATTTAGGTAGACGTCTGTAATTGATATATAATTATAATACAATGAGAAGTACAGCAACTTTGATAACAACAACAACAACAACAACAACAACAACAACAACAACAACAACAACAACAACAACAACTACAACAAACATATGCTTTTCTTTAACCCCCTGTTTTATTTTTTATAGGTGGGTTTAGGATTATGGTTCAGTGTTCATCTCTAATATTTGATACGCGAGTAGTATACTCTCATCATAACCATAACGTATCAAATAATGTTTCACCAGACAGATGGTAAGATTACATCGAGATGCATGGTAGTAGTCAATAGCATTTACTTTTCCTGGTCCTACTATTACTGCTGCGTGTAAGTTTCATGTGCTACGATTCCAGTCCTCGGAAAGATGAGCGCTTATTATTCATTTGATTGAGGTGGTACTCTGATAATCATAGTT